AAATTACATGAAATAAAACCAACTACTGGTTACACCTACTTGGGTTGTCAGTCCAGATTTGAAGAGGTCATCATGCGACGATGTCGTATTGGCCACACTATTGTCCGTCAACTTAACTAACGGCACCCTGTTTTTCACAATTTACAAAAAACTCCTGAATATTTTAAAACATTACTCTGTTCATATAGCAACTGCATCCCGTGACCTAACAAGTTTAGTCATTATAAAACAGTTATTAAAGAGTTTGCCTTCAAACCTACCATGTAATAATTGTAAATCTGTGGAGAGTTTTACGAGGGGTTAACGCACGTGATGGAAAAGCCAACAACACTAAAATGTGTGTCAGCGTGAAATGTACATGCACGGGTTTTTTACATTAGCACGCTTCAGTGATGTCAAAGATCGTCAGCACACAGGTTGAGGAGAAGTAGTGAAAACGATGTTGTCCAAAGATGCCCGGCAAATCATCAAAAGAGTTCACAACTTTTTCAAGCGCGAAAGCAAAACGAAAAAAACCTCTTATCTCAATTGGGTGTTTCACCAAAAAGAACAATTAATGCCACCAAGATCTGCAAAACAACTTTGCAAAGAGTTATCTCCCATGGCACTATTTCAGAGCCTGATGATGACATGGCAGTTAACTCGGTGGCCGTCTCAAAACATGCAAAGAAAAGAAAGCTTGATGAATTCGATAGAAGGGTTGTGAGGGACCTCATACGTCGGTTACATCGATCCAATGAGTCCATATCATCAAGTAAATTGAAGAAAATATTGAAAGAAGACCATGACATCAATGTATCAAAGTATACCATATGCAGGCTGTTGCTCAGATTTGGATATAGATACAAGAGACTGAGCAACCAGAAACTGACTATGTGAAAGGGCAGATATCACTTGTATGAGAGCCCATTATCTGAGAAGAATGTACGCGACAAGAGACAAGAGGGACGAGAGATCGTGTGGCTAGATGAGACATAGGTGAATGCAAACCATACTTCCTTTTATCAGTGGCAACATCGAGAAGCAGTCAACAACAGGAAGATTCCATTGGGGAAAGGTGAGAGACTTATCTTTGTTCACGCAGGCTCTCATTTAGGGTTTATTCCTGGTTGTGACCTTGTTTTCCGTTCCAAGTCCACGGATGGACGCGTCTACCACTCGGAAATGAACTCACCTGTGTTTACTGATTATGTGATCGAGCAGTTTATTCCAACACTACCTGCTAAATCTGTCGTAGTCATGGATAATGCTCCTTACCATAGCTGCAGAGAACCAAACAACAGATGCCCCACCTCTGCATCAAGGACGGGAGATATGGTGCAATGGTTGGACAGGCATTGAATATCCCCCAAAGGCAACAAAGGTAATACTGTATAAAATCATCCTTGCCAAGAAACCACCACCAGAGTATCAAATTGACAACTTGCTGAAGTTTCATGGACACGAGGTCATTCGGTTGCCGCCTTACCACTGCGATCTAAATCCTATTGAACTTGTGTGGGGACATATAAAAAACAACGTGGCCAAGAAAAAACGTTCCTTCAAATTAAGAAATGTGAAGAACATCGTTCATGAAGAAATCAGGGACGTTATGCAAGAGTTGTAGAACCGTTGTGTACAGCATGTGCTACATATTGAACAGCAGTACTTGAAAAAGGATGGTTTGCAAAAGGGGTGTGTTAACCCAGTGATTGTGGATTTGAACTCAGACAGTGACACAGACGTAGAACTAAGTGCATCTGACACTTCAGGGTCAGATGGAGAACAGTGAATTTCTTTAATCATGTACTCACATGCTTTACCCCAGGTATTTAAAGACTTCAATAAAACTACTTGTTTAAAATGGATTTGTGATGGTTATACAGTCCCTGTAGATTTGCTTGCAGGCGTAACAATGTAAACGAGATGCACGTGTGTCATACCATGTTGTTGGCTGTTCCATCATATCATTTTACACCCATGTATAACTACTTCTATTTTCATATTTTTATATGATTGCTTCTTAAGAAGAAGCTGTAATAATTGACATAAAATTATGAAATTTAAACCTTAGATAGGTCATACGATATAAAGAGCGTATGCACAAAAACATTTTAAAGGCAGTTTTGGTTAAAAGGTAAATAGTGAAAAACAGGGTGCAAAACGTTCAGTTGACGGACTATAGATATACTCACAAATACCTGTTAAAAGGTGAAGATCCTCCGTTTTGTATCCCTTGTGATGAGAGAGTCACGGTCAAGCATGACTTGCTCGACTGTGTTGAATTCTCCATCATAAGGGATAAATATTACAATGTAAACACTCTTAAGGGTCTTTTTACGACTATTAGTTCTCATTTAATTATTGTTTTTTAAAAAGAAATTGATTTCATTGATGAATTCTGATTAATATGTTCTGTAGATAGATGTATTTTAATGTTTGGTAGTTTAGATTAGTAACAGATTGTTAGTGGCTGTACCCTCAAAGGGGGTTAAAGTACTGTAAAATCATTGTCCTCCTGAGAGGGTACGTAAGTCCCAAAACTTTCAAAGTCCTTTATCGTTGATTTAAGACTGCTAAATTAAACATTTAGCAGTCTTAAATCAACGATAAAGGACCGCAAAATTGAAAACAGAGTAGCTTTATCCTCATTCTAGCACGACTGATAAGCGTTCTAAAACCGAACTGTTTGGTGCGCAAGAACACAAGGCGCGAAGGGGCCTTTTCCCTGGAAATCGCTTGGAATCGTCCCGTTCAGGGACAGGTTGTGTAATGAACACAATAAGACATTTTCAACAACATACATGCTTTATTTCAGGAAGCAATATGCTTGTATTTGTAACAAGTAGCATACATAAATATAAAAAAAATACAGTTCATACTGTGAGCAAGTACAATTATTTGATTTTTCTCAAGCGAATTATTGATCTCCCCTACTGTATGACAATAGACTCGCCCCAATTCAAGCCGTGAACTCGCTAAGTTTAGTCGCCGCTAACTTTATTCACGGAAATAATTGTTGATAACCACCCTACTATTCCCAATTTGGAAAATAACTGACATGCCACGTTTTATGTGGGATACATGGACAGTGGAAGTGGAAGGACTGGGCATTACGGCCGGGACGGAAGCGGTCAGGTTAAGACGTATGAGCCGACGAGTGTTTTCGACGTCATGCCCGCTAGATCTGGACCCGGTTTGAATATACTGCCGCTTTTGCGCTGCTGACGGATTTTTCAGCTTCGTAGTTTCTTCACTGGGATAAGGGTCAAGAAATTCTTCTTCAAACCATTCGCTTTTTACTTCAAAAATACCAAAGATCCTGCCGAGGTAGAAATTGCCTATGTCCGACATGTTTGTTTACAAACAGTAGGGTCAACGAGTTCGCTGTATTCATACGCGGTGAATCGGTCACTTTAATTAGCGGTCTTAAACTGCCATTTAAGTACGGTTTTGATAAGCTCTCAGCCAATCAGAATCGAGTATCACACACTGTCGTGCTGGAATTCTTGATATTGTGATATTCTAGTCGGTTTTACTGTCCTTAGATGGCATTTGTTTCTAATTTACCATAAATTACTATGTTTAACAATTAAATGTTCTCGTCACGATATAGCTGAAATATTTCCGATGTGACGATAAATTATAACTCACTCACTCACTCACTCAGTCATTCCCATCAGTTGATGCTAGAAATCTATGGAAACGTTCGATCTTTCCGTTGCTCTTGGGAAAATGGCGAAGAACGAATATGTTGAGTCCCTGCCATTCGCAAATATTTCGCAAACAGTGCACTCACAAATTGACGAACATTATCTGAAAATATGCTTTCTGGGAAACTATATTTTTTCCAACATATTCTTTGCAAAACTTCTGGGAAACCGTGTTTTCCAAAATATTATTTCCATAACTTCAATGATAGCACTTGATGTAACGTCTTGAATCACCACAGCAAATGGATATGAAGAAATGTAGTCTATCAATGTTAACATGTCAATAAGTCCCCATGGTCCCTAGTATGGTGATCTATAGTCCGTTTTTATACTGCATTGTCCTACATAGAATATAATTTTATGTTCAATGCTAGTTTTAAATCTCTAACTGTGATATACTAGTTGTTTTACTGTCCTTTGGCGACAGATTTTATATTAGAACATTATAAAGTAATATGAATAAACTGTTTTAGTCACGATATGGCTGAAATATTGCCTAAGTGACTTTAAATTTTAACTCACTAATTATTCACTTACGCTCAGTTCTGCCAAAGAACGACTAGCAAACGCAATAGGTTGAAAGCTACCATCGTCTTGCCTTTGAAGTAAACCTGAAGCCAAACCAACTGGACTAGCATCACTAACCAGAATAGTTGAAGCCTTGCTATCATAGAAAGCTACACATGTGGCTTTACCAATAGCCTTCTTCAAAGATACAAATACTGACTGACAAACATCATTCCATTTCCATGTCACTCCAGTTCTAGAGAGAAGACGTAATGGTTCACAAAGACCTGCAAAACCAGGAATAAACTTCATCAAGTAATTGCACACTCCTAAAAATGAACGTAACTGTGAAAATTTCCAGGAGGATTAGCTAGTTCAACAGCTGATACCTTGATAGGATTAGGTTTAACACCTTCAGAAGTAACTACATGTCCTAAAACAACTATCTCTGTCATACCAAGTTTACACTTGTCCTCGTTGAGCTTTAAACTGTACTCTCTACATCTTTTGAAAACATTTCTGAGCAAATTTTCAAGTTATTCTAGAGAATCTGCATAGCAAATCAATTCATCAATATATTTCTCCAAACCTGAATTATCATAGAAACATAGTTCATAGCCTTTTAATATGGTCCAGAATCTCAATTCAAGCCAATAGGAAGTCTTTTGAATCTAAATATACATCTGTGTGTAACAAAACTTGTCTAATCTCTAGAATCGTCTGTCAATAGAATCTGCCAGAATCCCCGTTTACAATCAAGCTTGGCAAAGCAACGTGTTGACGTCATGGTATAGAGTGTATCTATTGTGGATAGCGAACCCTTTTATTTGCAAGATGTTTAAGGTAGGTGGAGGAGGTGGTGAAGGTTGAGGGTAAAAAACTGAAAAGTACAAAAGGCCAAATTAGTCTAAACTGACCTGAATATGGTATTACATTATAAGTATTACATTCCATAGCACTAAGTCATTAGCCTAGGTATGCCTAAATATGATATCCAATGCAAAACTGTCACAATGATAACCTAAACTGAACATGCAACTACAAAATACATTGACAATAGTATATGTCCTCAAATATTCCTTAAAGTCCACCCAGTACCTACACCAAGTATTATCCTGAATAGTCTGCCACAATCCTAAACATCAATACAATGTCAGAAAACAACACAATTTCCCAAATATTAAATAATGAAGTGCACATTGAAATAGGCTACACAAGCTCTATACATTTCAGATAGATTAACAGTTAAAGAGAAGCAACTCCGTAAAGCTTACTCTGCATGTAAACGGCACATTATTTTATGAGCGCTTCAATAGAGCAACTTGAGCATGAAAGTTTGGCAAACTTACACCTAAATGACTTACGCATTTAACAAGAGTGCAAACTGTGTTTCTACAACACCTAAATCATAAAGGACTTAAAATATCACATGCTGTCATAGAAGTCTAAGGCAATATACGCCATAAAGTGCTGTACGTGAATTATGCCTGATCGAAAGCTGAACAGCGCTACTTCTTAGATTACAATAACAAACTTATAATCGCTTAACATGCCTCAACTGATACTTATGCATCTAGATTTACATGAAATACAAAATAAAAGGCTTAATACATACTCGCTCGTTGCTGTGTTACTCCTATATTACTCAAAATGATGATTCCTGAATATTTGGCCATGCCGCCTGAAACCTGCAAACTGGTCCAAACCGGATAATAGTTTTTAGACTGGTCATTTATATAAATTACACCAGACTAGGTTTAGTCTATAGATGGGTAAGAAATAAAGAGCTGTTTCGCACATGAAACAGAACATAATATAGCTCATCAATAAACACTTCATTCCGTTTCTGCTTACAATTCTGTTGCTGAAATCTAACCTTACCTTTTTCTTCTTTCTACCAGCCTTCTGCTTTGAATTACCTTGCTTATCAGTAACTGACTTACTTAACGGAAACTTTGATGTAGAACTTGACCTACTATCTGAGGTTGAACTACCACCTGACCGTCCAGCTTTACATACCCTAGCCAGATGACCCTTTTTTTACAGAACAGACACTTATAGTCTGTTTGCAGTGAAAACGTACCGGTGAATTGCACTTTTAACAAAAATGTAAAAAAAAAAGATTGCGAATCCTCATAATTCTACCTTGCCAATTGAATATTTAAATCTTAGATTTTTATTCAACTTATGAAAAAAGTTGTTTAACAAATTTAGACCAAACCTACTTGATCTCGATGTTTCATTTTATGTACATACCCCCTTGTAATACAAACCAATAATTCCGATTAGAAACTATGATCGTTTGTTAAACAACTTTCATCCTAAGTTGAATAGAATTCTGAGATTTAAATTTTCAAATGGCAAGGTAAAATTATGAGGATTCGCAATCTTAATTTCACTTTATTTGATTTACATTTTTGTTTAAAGTGGAATTCATCGGTACGTTTTCACTACAAACAGACTATAGCATTGACAGCACCACAATCCGAAGTCTTGTGATCTGAAAAAAACACTTCTGTAACAGCGGCTATAAAAAGTATATTTTTTCACCAGGCAATGTAAGAACAATTATTTGCCATGAAATACCTAGACAATGCAACAAAGTAGCCCGTCGAACCTCACCCCCTTGCGTCTCTAGACCACTAGCAACCTCATAAATAGAGAACGATTTCATCCAGACCGTCAGTTCATTACTCAGATTGGTGTAATTCATATTTAGAGCTGGCCGGGGACGTTAATGTAGATTAAAGTTCATAGATGCAGCGGCAGGTTCATTCATATTGCCTATACTGATACACCGTTGGAAAAGTTAAGTACGACTGAACAAAATATGGACATTTTCTGAATATCCAGCTCATGATGGCAATATGTTCATGACAATGTTCATGTTGAAAATATACTGGAGACATGGTGTAGACTGTAAACCAAACGTGCGAGCTACCGTGACACTAACAGGTGAGATACAGGTGATGCATGTGATGAAAACAAGTTCCACCAGTTAGTGACACTAACACTATGTAGTATTACTAACAGAGTTTATGTCGCGTGTGTATACCTTCCCTTGAAGCAGACATATCCCATCGCCATTTAAGGAAACATTTCCTTTTTTATATATCGGTTTGGTTTATCAGACTTTTTGTAAATGAAGAAAGAAAACTAAAAAACTTTCAAATTGAAAAATGCAAACGAATCTGTTAGAAATAGAAAATGAAATTCACTTTGTGTTTGTCTGTCCATTTCATAGTGACACTGTATCTTTCATGTGCTAGTTGTACAAAAAATACAATGTAACAGAAGATTGTGATATTTATTAAAATCAAATGTGCAAACTGTCTCGGAACTCATTCGTCTTTTTCTAAAGATCATGTTTTCCAGGAACAAAATTGTACATTCCACCGAAGAAACTAATCCTACGCTTCAAGCACAATCAAGCGCATAAATGGTCAGATAAAATCTAACCGTATAACAAGTGTTTGGACCAATGGAGAAAATGGATGTGTTTGACAACATCCACCCCAGGGCACTTAGCTTGTGGCCCCCAAAGATGGGGTAGATACCCATTCAACCGATCGAGTTTAATGAAATACAGCTATTAGGGACAACACTGATGACACCCCAACCCTTCCCCAATCCCGAACAAAATGGGGCAACCCCCCCCTTACAATCATTACCACCACCTGCGTTATGTCCGCATGTAACAGGCGGGTATGTTATCTCAAATAATGACCTGTGTATATACAATGGTGACGCAAGCACTTATCTGTATCCTGCTACCGGTACCTACTCTTCTCTGGATTTGTCTCTTCCTGACTCTACCCTCAATGAATTTGATTGGTCAGTTCATAATGACCTCTTTGGATGAGACCACTTCCGAACTATCCTATCACAAATTAATTCATCTGATTCTCTATCTTATACAAGATGGAATTTTGCCAAGGCAAACTGGTCCTTGTTTCAAACTTTACGCTTCTCTAAACTAGGACACAGATGGTTCAGTGATATAGCTGATCCTATTCGTATTTTACTGACGTTTCCAATGGTATAGCTGATGATTTTATACCCGAGTGATTTTAAAACTCCACATGAACGGAAACCATGGATCAATGCAGACTGTTAACATGCTAGAAAAGCGAGCGAAAGGGCAGATAATTTGTTCCCTCATCAACCAAATGTCCATAACTTAAAGGCATTTAAAATTCTAACTGGGAAGGCACATCGTACCTTCAAACAAACAAACGGCAAACTTGGCGAAACTATGTTTCAAAAATTACTTCACAAACACTTATGTCGAAAGTGGAATGCATGGCAATATGGCGGACTGAGCAAGTCGGGTGTATCACAACTCACTTCTCGTCAGTGGTGTAACCACCAAGCTGAATTATCAAACGCATTCAAATTATCACTGAACACAATAGGAATATGTGTAGAGCAGTTACGTGGCAAACTTGGAACGTTTGCACCCGTTCAGTGGTGGATTTGAAGCAATTTGCGGAACAAGGCGGCCGCGTCTTGGATCCCACGAAAACACGCGTACGCAATGACAAACATGGTCACCCGGATAACCGTTGTTGAATCTAATACTTATGCTTCTTTGAGTGGCATTTTTGAAGTTGGGAAGTACAATATAGATTTTTTTTATGGATAACAACTTCTATTTATTCGTGAGTGCGACGTTTCGATTCTTGTACCGTTGTCAAGCATAATGGGACATGAAGAAGGGGGAAGTATATATATACTGGATGTAACAATGTAACAAAGAAAACAACATAATTAACAGGGCAGAAAGCTGATGAAGCCAGAGAGTAGACAAAGGACAGGCGTGGAAGCCAATGATGTACCGAAATTAACATGACGGACCTGGAAGATAAAGCACTAGATACTGCTCCCTTCAAACCTACATGTTGGTACCGCAAAGTGGATGATACTTTCGTCATCCCCCAACCTCAGCAAGATCCCACTCAGCTTCTCACCCATCTCAACAACCAACATCCCCGCATCAAGTTCACCATGGAAACCGAGCAGAACCAGCAACTACCTTTCCTTGACGTCCTTGTGTCCCGCACCTCCTGCAACCAACTCCAGACCACTGTATATAGAAAACCTGCCCAAACGGATCAGTACATCCACTACAACTCCAATCATCCACCTGAAATTAAGACCGGCATCATCTCCACATTAACCAGATGGGCCAAAAACATCTGTTCAACTAAACTACAAGATGAAATCGAACACCTCAAGAAAGTCTTCGTAGAACGTAACCACTTTCCATCCCAAATGGTCAACAGAACCATTGCTGCAACCCTGTCACCTCTTACCCAAAGACCCAAACCAGATTCAGCCCCCATCAAGATATCCATCCCTACATTGGCAAACCGTCACATCAAATCAGCCGTCTCCTAAAACAACAAGCTGGCATAGATACCACCTTCTCCGCATCCTCCATCCTTAACAACATTCTCCATGCCAATGGAAGAAAACTCGCCACCATAAAAACAACAACCCTAAATGTGTCATCTACAAAATAAACTGTGATTGTGGGCAGAGCTACATAGGCGAAACTTCCCGACCCATCAACACCCGAGTGAAAGAACATCAGACCTCTGTTACCAATTCCGACAGCAAATCAGCCATTTCCGACCACATCAAAGCAAGCCCCAATCATCAAATAGAGTGGTCTGACATCACCATTCTCTCTAACAAACAAACAGAGTTCCCTAAACGCAAGCTCACCGAAGCCATCAACATAAAATGACAAAAGCCCACCATCAACCGAGACCAAGGATACTTCATTCCATCAGCTTATGATGCACTCATCCACCAAGCCCAATCTACTGTATAAACTCTGCTGTATAAACATCTCATTATTATTTGTACATCATTGGCTTCCACGCCTGTCCTTTGTCTACTCTCTGGCTTCATCAGCTTTCTGCCTTGTTAATTATGTTGATTTCTTTGTTTACATTGTTACATCCAGTATATATATATTTCCCTTTCTTCATGTCCCATTATGCTTGACAACGGTACAAGAATCTGTTTCGAAACGTCGCACTCACGAATAAAAGGAAGTTGTTATCCATAAATTTTGTTCTATATAATACTTATGCTGTTGTTCTATGCTGGAGTCGAGCTGAACCCGGGGCCGACTGACCGATGATGATGATGATGATGATGATGATCAACGCTCACGTTGGAGCAGTTCTGCGAGCAAATAAACACTTTTCACTTATCCAAAATCAAGCAAACGTGACGTTGCGGTATTCGACTCCATTGAAGGATTGAAGATAAAATTCGAGGATATTGTGCAATCCAAAAAACGAGTAACACAGTAGGTTGCATAACGTTCATAGATCTCTTCAATACCTCACTGATCATTGACATGTGGTTGAAGACTGAACAATTTGAATCTGAAAATATGAAGTTAAGGGATGACGTCTACAATATTGAAGACAGATTTGATTACCTAGAAAATGGGATCCAATGTGGTTTTTCATGGCATACCTGCTATTAACTCCAATATATCGTGGGATGACTGCAAATCTACTGTGCGTGATGTGTTGAAAGATCACCTCGAACTCCATGAATCACATATTGAAATTAACCGTGCGTACAGAATAATGAAAAGAAAAGCAATTATTGCACTAATTCCGGATGATCAACAGCGACGATGATTAGAAGCAACTAGAAAACTCAAAGTTACGTCTATGTTTATCAGTGAGGATCTTTCAAAGACAGTTCGTGC